TCATAAATTGTATCTCAGCATGAGTCTGTTCGACATACTTACGGAAAATATCGTTATCGTTAAAAATTATGTTTTTTTTTAATAACTTTTCGCATTGAAATAAAGTATGCTTATAGATATCTATATCTTTTTTGTTGCCAATGTCTTAAAATTCTCTACCTGGCGGAACAGGATGAGACTAGCTGATGGAAGAGTGTTGGAACATGTAAAGACAAATCTTATCGACCAAGGCGTGCAGGTGATGGAACAGGGTATTTGGCATACACCTTACTATTGCGTTTCTGCAGTTTATGTAAGCAAAGCACAACTCATGTTGTAGCTACTCTTTTTTGTTTATACACTCTCTAAACTAATAATATCTTTTATGGCTCACTGCTTTTATCCAACCATCAATTATGTTTACTTGTTCTTCTTGACTAGATAAATGATACGCATATCTGCGGAGTCGAAACCCGCACAATCAAAACTTGTAGAGATTCTTGAAGGGAACTGAATTTCTATGATTAAACCAACATAAACGAAAGAAGACTTTGAACTTGTCTTTTGCTGTTAAGAAAGCTTTATTGTATATGTCTGTGTAATGATTTTCGGTTTTTTTTTCTCCCCCTCTTTCAAAAATGAAGTACATGGACTTTATATAGTCACAGATCTTTCAGAGTACTACTGCTGGATAGTGGCTTAGTCATGCTCCACTTTAGTCTACCCGAATCTAGTCTAGGTCTATATAAGTGCCCAATGACATATGCCATGACATAAGTCTACAGGGATGCTCAGTGACATATGCCATGACATCAGATTGATGTTGACGTGATATCGCCTTTGTTGACTCTGTAGCGTCCCGGTATCGAAATCCAATTAGATTATGATCAATACTTGTCATCGGTATGTAATTTCCTAGGCATCGGTATCTGACCGTGTCGTGACCATGTCATGACATCGGTACCATCGGGATACGACATCGGAACCATCATGTCGCGGTAAGGCCATGTCGCGGTGATCCTCGT